TGTAATTTTCCTATACACTATAGCGCGATTTCATGTAAATATCCTAAAGTTGTCTTTAGGATATTTACAGTCTAAAACTAGTCAAATTTGTTTAAAATTATTTATCGTTTTCTTATACTTTTTGTTTATTTTGATTTCCATTTAATGTTTTTGAATATTGATTGATTTGTAAATACAAAACTTTTTCATATTTTAAATTTAAATTAAATTGATTGAAAGTGTTTTTCTTTTCTCTAATTTACTTATAATTTTTCTTTTCTCTATTAAAATGAATATTCTCACATACGTCTTCTTTATGCACACTTACAGCGAATTGATTATACTCGCTTGTATTACGCATTCGATCAATATTAATAATCGATTTTCTTATACTTTTTTCTATAATTCGCTTCTTCCAATTGATATTTGTTACTATACATATAATCAATAATCATTCAAGTTCATTGAAGTTTAACACGAGCAACTTTAAGAAGCGTATACATGTATTTTATTAAAAAAAATTTTAATAGAAAAAAAGAGAAGATTTTAGATATAGCCTATATGTTGTCTTTGTGCGCGCCTATGTTAACTTTTGTGGTCATAGGTCATTGTAATTAATACAACAATTAGTAAAAAAAATATAAATAAGAAAGTAATTATATATGTATTACGAGTATGTACATATACATGTATGTTTTGTATTAAAAGGTTTTTTTAAAAGTTTTAAATTTTTTTTAATATAATTAAAGAGAAACTTTTTTTGAAATATGCAATTATAAAAATTTCGATACCTTATGTCAGATAAAAATTATAATAGGGAAAGATTATTTATAGTTATTTAACCCCCAGGGATCCAAGTAAAATTTAATGGATTAGACGAAAAAGTCTTAATAGCAGAAAATTGATTGCATTTTCTTTTTCTATAAACAGTTAATAATTATGTAGGCAATATAAGTTAAATTTTCTCTCTTAAGTCTTTTATTTCAAAAAAATGAAAAAAAAATTTGTGAAATTCGAATTGAAATTCTTACGTTCACACGTCAATATTATCACCATGTACTGTCGAACAACAATATTCTTATGTACTCTTTGCGGTAATGACCTGTAGTGCACATATTTTGATCTCAAGATTCCTAAAATAATATTAAAATTAATTTATTTTTTAACAGATTTTCTAAATGTACTAAATTCGAAATGTGAAATAGTCAAGACAGAATTGCAAATAATTTTTTTAAACGGTCAAAAGCCTCTACAAAAGAAAATAGGTCTTCGTATTAAGTCTAATGTGGTTTTACCCTTTAATTACAATAGAAAAATTAAACATAATGTCGTTATTAAATTAATTCTTAAAGAAATTTCCTAATCACTTACATAATTTGTTTCAAAAACCATATATTATTAGTCTTGGAAGTTTGAATGAAAATTTTTAGGTTGTCCATAATAAGCCGAAATTTTATAAAGCTAATGATTTTTACTTGTGCTGAAGCTTTGAAATTTTTATAATGAGGTAGATTATGTGACAGCACCAAATTTTGCATATCGAGTTTTCGTTGGGAACACACTTTTGCATAGTGGGGAAGCGTAACTGATTTTAGAGAGTTGTCGGTCTGTTCGGCTAAACCCATTTTGATGAAATTTTATGAGAGTTTATTTTGACTATGGCGTGGATAGATCAACTTTTGTGACATATCTAACATCGGGAGCAGGACGTTTTTGCGGGCCAAATATAAATTTATTTGCATAATATTTAAATTCGGGATGTTAAAATAATGAATCTATAGTTCTTTTGGAAATATCAGTCCTCAGTAACCCACCTAGGGGCCGATTTTACATATTTTACCATGGCTGTTATCGAAACTGGTGAACTTTTCAGGGAAATCGGGTGGCACAAAGAGAAATCGTATATATATCGTATTTATACTTTTTTAGGTATGTTAACACAAACCTCGCTAAATTCTTTAAAATTTTAAAATGCATTTTCATAATCTTCTGTAACACTTAACTAAGCAATACACATTGCGCTCGGTTATGTGCTAAGCACATCAGATTTTTTTACTTCTTATACAACTTCATTATTGAAAACGCGAAACAATTACCAGAAAGTTATATGCATTTTCATAAACCTGTAACTTCTTCCATCAAAGAGGGTGAATTAAAATTTGAACATTTACCATTATTGTAAATAAAATACTTTACAAAAAAAATTTTAAAGCTCCATAATATTATTAAATATTCTCTAATATTGCTTTAACATTTTTTTTGTGCCAATCCGCCTATTATAATAAAGATTGACTGTTTCTTAATTTGTTAAAGTTATTTTAAATTATGTTAAATACTTCTACACGCATACTATTTTAATTGATATTTATACATACATAAATATTATCATAAGGTTATTAACATAATTTCCAGTTCATTTTCAGATCAAAAATTTTTCAAATACTAAAATTAAGGCTAAAAAGTGATGGAAAATTGAATTTTTAACCCCATTTTCTTCTTGTTTTCGATTTTGTTTTCTATTTTTTTTCTCTCATTTTCTTTATACTATTACAAGAACTTATACAATATACAATGTAATTGAGTTAAATGCATCCTACGGCATATACTCATATTGTATATATATGATATTATATTGTGTTGTATTTTAGTTTTGGCAATGTAGAAGAAAAGTAAAAACTCTTTACCAAATGAAAACGCCAAGTTAACTGGTTCCCTACATGCATTTATTTCCATTTGTTATTCAATTTCATTCAATTTTATTCATTTTATTTTTTATATTTGTGGTTTTGCTGTTTTTTTTTTGCTTATTTACTTGAATTTTATTTCTTTTGATTTCTCTTAAACCAGTTTTCCATTTCATATTTAACCAAACAATATGAAATATCGCGTAAATTTCCGATTTGATGGAATCTGTTTTCATTAAAAAAATTCAATTCAAAAAGAAAAACAACATAAAATAATAAAAAAAAAACGTTTATATTAATTTTTTCTACATTTAATTGAAGGTATGCTGCAGCAAAATGTATTGATTGCAATATTTTTCTACTTCACTGTAATAATACACAAATTCCTCATGAATTACCGTTACTGTTATATATATTTATTTATAACCGTTCTATAAGATTTTAAATTTAAATTTATAAAAATTTTTTTTCACTATATTTTATTACTGTTGGTGTTTTTTTTTTTGTGCAAAAAAGCTCTTTTAAAACGAATATTGTAATATTTATAACTGCTTTTTATAAAACATAAAATATATATAGGTACCTATATGGCTATATCTATAGATAGATAAAAGATGTGTATATGTGCACCCATATGCATATTATCTTTAATTACAATAGTTGAATGGCAAAAACAGAAAATGTTGGCAGTAGGCTATGCAACAATCTTTGGGAAAAAATTTATTAGATTTAATAGTTCTTCACAATGGTCACATTTACACGCAAGTATAGTATGTATATGTGCAAGAAAACATAAATGGTATCATGGTAATTTTATTTCTTAATAATAATTGTAATATCAATTGACCGAACTATACAAAAAGGAAAAATTTCTAAGTATTTTTCAATTCAAAAGAAAAGAAAAACTATAAAATAAATGTTTAAATATTAAAAGAGTTTACCAAAGGTAATCGCTGTAGTGTAATGTTAAGATTGTGCAGAAGTATGTTCACATAATAATTCTAAAAATTCGTAATTTTAATTATAAGTAAAGTAAAGGACAAATTTTTGACATTTTTACACTTATAATCAATAATCTATATATGATGTTGAAGCGTTTGTGTAGATTAATGTTTTAACACATTTTAAAATAGTAACCTTTGACTATTATAAATTTTTTAAAATTAAAATCATAGACCCAAGTTTTCATATTATTTGAATTTCTAAACTAATTTTAATTAGCATATTAATTAATAAAAGGTATACTTTAAATAAATTCTTAGCAAAATCTTTTAACTGTATGTACATTGCTCGCGTATTTCGGGGAGCCAAAAATCGTATCAAATTTCATGAAAGAGTCGCCAAACCATTTTATTTGAAAAGATATACTCGTATTTCAATATCTTTATCTCAATTTCGAATAAACCGGATTTCATAGAAATTTCATATTTAGTTTATTTTAGGGATCTCCTGTACGCTATGCCAGAAACTAACTACTAGATCTTGCTACGATCCGGTTTCACATTTTTCCAGCAGATTTTTCGTTACAATTTGGTGTCATATAAAAGAAAATATAGTTGAAAAATTGACGAACAGAAGAATAAGGGTCTGGGAATTAAAATTTACTAGAGGCCGATATCATAACTTCAACCATATCTATGTAAGGAAATTGTAAACTAAACTATTTCGAATTGAATTTGTCGAATCAACAAACTGACCTGCATTACGAAAATTGAGCCTATTTTAACATTTTGTAAGCATAAGTAAAATTTCATTGGCAGAATTTTGTGCAGCCCTTCCGCCTTTCATTGTTCTATAATAGCGTTCGTCATGTTCCGCAATAGAAGGACTCAATTTCTCAAAACAGTTTCCTAGATTTTTACTAATATTATGATTGTATTCTCATTTAAAATCACTCTTAAAATTATTCTTCTAGTGAGAAACTAAATTATCTCCTTCTACGCCTATAATATTGAATATATTATTCCAATTAAAAATGAAAATTAAAAAAACAAATATAACTTACCTATTTATTTCATCCCATCACCAATAAATTATGATACCATAAGCAAAAGTAATTGTGAAAAAAGCTCAAAATGACTCTAAAGTAAAAAACAAAAATAATAATAATAATAAAGACGATAGAAATTGAAAAACAAAAACCAAAACGCAACCAAACTCTTATGGCTCAAGCTAAGCTTTAAAATCGTCACTCAAACGCAAAAGCATATCTACATACATATATACATATGTGTATATATAAAACAACAACCAAAATTAAGAAAAAAAAAAAAACATTTAATTCTTTGATATACATGGAAGGTGAATTTGCTGATTTCTTTCAGTATAGTTTGAACATCGCCATCGCTTGGACGTCTAATAAAAGTAATTTAAGTAACCTAAATAATAACAATAAAAAAAACAGAAATAATAGTGCAAAAATAGTTAAAAAATTTTTTCTTAATTTTAGTATTTTTTTTTAAGGTGTGTACAATTTATGCAATTTTAATATTGCATTAAGAAATCTATAGTGATTATAAAAAGCATAAAATTAAATATTGAAACTCTATTGTATTTAAAATCAAAATCCCAAATTTCAGGGAAAATTATTATGAATAATTATTAAAATATTAGAAATTATTTAAAATATTTGAAAAATTTATTTAGTGAAATCTCTAATATACGGATGATAATAATTAATAAAAAATAAATTTAATTTAATTATTTTAGCATTTAAACGAAATTATAATTTTTCTTTTAGGTTTTATTTTATATATATATAAAAATTTAGTGATATCATTGAATTTATATAAATTACATACATATATATATATATATATATATATAAATAATTTTTTATCTTTTCTCTTTCATATTGGTAGTCGTGGCAAATATATTTAAATTTTTTTAATATTTCGGAAAATATCTAGTGAAAATCCAAATTAAATTAAATATATTTAATTTGAATATTAAAAAAAAAATAGATTTTGATCGAATATGAAAAGATCAATAGCAAATAATTTTATTAATTTTCGGCTGCTCTTCTTTGGAATAATTAGTACATGTAAGTATATTTAAATAAAAAAAATAAAAAAAAAAAATATTAATTAAAGTTACATAAGTACTTAATATTAATATTTTCTCTAAAATTTGGAATACAAAATAATGTAACTATTCAGAATAGCATGATACTAAATTTGTATATTTATATTTTTCTTAAATATTTAAATATATTCTCAAACAATTTTTATATTATTTAAAATAAATCCATAAATAATTTAGGCTTTTAAATTATAAATTGAGATAATTACTTATATTGAAAATAATTTTATATGATTAAAAATCTTTATACTTAATTGTTTCCGTTTTGACCCGCAAAGAGGAATATAGGACTTTTGCAAGACATTGTAATTGAATTATATTTCATTATCGTTACTAATTGAGTTAATTAGGCGGGTGATTATAATCTTCCTGAGGAATGTGCATAATAACTGCAGCTTAAGTTACCAAACTTAAGTAATGATTAAAATTCTTCTCTAGTTACGTGATCGTCTATTAGTGAGTGATTGTATTCCTATTTAATTTAAAATAAAATAAAAATTAGGTATTATACTTATAAGTAATATATTATATAATAGCATCCTACAGCATTATATCTTGAATATTAAAGAATTATGTCAACATGCTTCATGTAAGAATAATTACATTTTTTTTTCCAAATATACCAGACAAGAAATTGGTTCAAATTGTCAATAATATTTTTATGATGACACTATTCTTTATTTAAATTTCAGTTCCAATATTTTTATATTCCAATATTTTATATTATTATTGAAGCGAATATATATATATACATATATATAATTCTATTTGATAATTTGTATATGTACGTATATTAATAAAATATATAATAAGTAAGTATATAGAAAAAAAAGAATAAATAATTAATAATGTTATTTAACTTGTTCAACAAGATACCATTCAATGGTATGATACCATTAAAGATATAAGTTGCATTCGTATATTTTTGTGTGCAATTCATTTTATACATTTTGTGTTATATATATATATATAATTTCAAATGATTTAATACGAATATATCTAGATACATAATATGCATTTATATATAAAGCTGAATATTATATTTAAATAATGTAATACCTGAAATGTTAAATATAGAATTGAGAAAAAAAACATAATTGTAGTACAAAATAATGTACTCGTATGCATATATATGTATGTACATACATGATCAAGCACCAGTAAAATAAAAAAAAAGATAAAAAATAACGATATTAAAATGTTGGTCAATTAATAACTTGAGGCAAATAAATATTATATGTTACTGTTAATTCAAATATATAAGAATACAATATTGTACGTATGTATGTGATGAATATCTACACAATTACAATTTCTATTGAAAAACGATGGCACATAAAATAATTGCATTATATCACACAATTATAGTTTTTCAGTTAAAGATATATAAAGAAATAAGCAAATTTTTTGTATTCTTAAGTTGAAAAGGTGAATATAATTAAATTTTACAAAATCAATCGAATTTATTTTTTAAACATTAGAGAAGAAAAAAATTGCTTTAGTTCGAAGAACAATCTATATTTTTACTAATATTATTATTGGGTACAACATACTCACTTTCTAAAGATTTTTCAAAAAAAAACTTAGTCTTGAAAAACCAAAAAAATACAAAGTTGTCAATACTAAAATGTATGAACTCTTGAATTATTTATACTATAATAATGTACAAAATAAAACATAGAAATAAATATACACACTTTATGAAAGCTGTGATATGCTTCTACTTTACTCAAAATTAATAGTTTAAAACTGTTTGTACCTGATCTAATCGCAAATTTTCACATAAAGCGTGTGTACAATGCGCGAAATTGAATATTTACGATGTATACTTAGTACAGAATCGGCGATTAAATGTTTTTATTTTGAATTAGAGGAATTTTCACCAAACTAAAATTTTAAGATTGTTACTTTGAAGAAAAAATAAATATTTTCAAAAATATTTTTAATTATTTTTCCATTTTATTTTATAATTTTTATTACTAATGTGCACAACAACAAAACTGAATCTTCGTTACATAATATTTAAAACAACTTTTTTTTCGATTAATTTTAATAAAATCTCTGGATATCAATACCAAAAATTCGATATCATATTTTTATATCATTGAAGTAAAATTTTTTATTTTACTATAAGATTAAATTGATTAAAAATTTAAAGTGAAAACATATTCAATAGAGATTGCACTATTTAGAAAAAATATTATGTTTTTGATTTCTTTTCGAAAATTTAACCAAAGTTGATTTCTTTGGTCAAATCTAATCAAATTCCTCAAAGTTAAAAAATTTAACTTTGTTAAAGATATATAATATGTAGGTATATAAGTTTCTTTCATTAAATCATTTGTTTTCTCTGCGACGATTCCATGAGGCAAAACTGAATTGGCGACAGAAAAATAAAAAAAATTTAACCTAAAACTTTAAATTGAATTTAGTAATAATTTTCTATTATTATTTTTTTGTATTTTGTTTTTTTTTTATAGTTTTGAAATATCTTGAAAAGATTTTTGTTAATGAAAGTCAACTATATTTTCCCACTTTTTATAACAATTTTTTTCTTATACGTAATGTATATAAATATCATCTTAAGTATATATGATATACAATCATTAATATATAATCATAATTTACTCCACGTATCTATTATATGATCTAATGACATAAAAAATTGCTACTAAAATAAAAAAAAAACAACAAAAATGTAAAAAAAACAGAGGCAGAGGAGAAGACAAAAAATGCATCCAATGATTTTTAATAATTAATTAAATTTTGAATTTAATACATATAATATGTATGTATGTATTTATGTATATAGTATATACTTGGAGAGACAACATGTAATATATGTATATGTCATAAAACATTATATATTATGTACTCGCATGTACATACATACATATGTATATTTCGAATAACAATGTATTTAAGATTGACCCTAATACACGCCATATAATATTTTTGTACATTTTTAGAAAACGTGATTATGATTAAGTAGTTTTTTCTTTAACATTTTTAATTTAACTCAAAAAAAAATTTTTTTTTGTATTGCAAAATTAAAAAGTTTTTTTTTTTCAATTTTAAAACAAAAAACAATAAAATGAAAGGAATTTTTACTTTCATAAAAATCATTTATATGAAAACATTTGTATGATATATATTATTGTATATATATGGCTATATATACATATAATTGATTTATATTGCGAGATATTTAAAGTCAAATATCACTAATACAGTAAATCCCATAAATACTTGTAGTGACCATTAAAGAAACTTTGTAATAAGTAAAAATCATTTACATTTTCGAAATTGATACGATTATTTGTTCACAGGAATAAGTAAGTAATATTCAATTGATATTCAATTTTGAAATTGTTATGACTATGCATTATATTCTTATGTATATCTTGTATTGTAAAATTATTTATCGTAAAGCAGGTCATAGTTGTAAGATAATTGTAAACATTTACGAATAAAAGTTATAACTAAATTAAATTATAAGATTGAATACAAAATTTATAAAATATAATATAATTAATCAGAAAATGAAATAATAATATTCAAAAATCAAGTAAAATTAATAAAGTCATCATAAAATTTTAAATTATCTTTTTCAATATTTATTACAATATTTAACTGTATATTGTGCATGAATACTTACTTATTTTATTAGCATTATTTGTATTCGCTTATACGTGCATAATTTCGGCTCTTTCTGCACCAATTTATGATTTATTATTTGAATTATTAATAATTTAAAATACAAGAAAATCTTAATTTTTTTTCATCTTTTATTATTTTTTTTCTTTAAATACATTAATAATATTTCACAATTTTGGTTTATTTAAAACCGTAATAACATTGTACCGATAACACTTTTTAGTAATAATTAAGATTTTTTGATACAAAAAAAATTATTTGATACAAAATGCCAACTTAGCGTCACTTCTTTAGTTAAAAAAAATTAAATTCTTTCAATTTTAATTAAATATTATGAATTAATTAAACATTATGAAATATTAAGAATTTTGAGTTTAATATTCATTTTAATTAGTAATTAATTTTAATTAATAGTTGATTAATTAGGACCGTACAATAATGCATGATGTATTCCTTTCAACTTATATAATACTTAAATCTATCTCACAGAGTGGAATTGAGAATACATGCAAACACATTTTTCTGTGAAAATTTGGTTATGCAGGATGTAAAACTATCTAACGGAACAAAAAACTTATGCGAGAATATTAAACGTACATGGAATTTTTTTCATATACATTGTATAAAATTCCTAAAGAAATGATTTCTTTTTGAGACACTCTAATACGTATATTAGTTTGATGCACTATTGGCATGGCACATCATTTAAATACAATAATGTTTTGTATTTTTCAATTTTTAAAATTTAAATATTATAATTAAGAAAAATGTAAAATATTCTTTTTGAACCAGCCTTGAAAACATCTCATATACTCGTATAATATTAAAAGTAATCATGTTTAATTTATGCAGTTATTTAAATACTATTTACACGGTTACAATGTTATTTATTGAATAAATTATTTTGTGTTGGAAAAATAATTAATTAAGAAAAAAAGTATATAAATAGTTGGGTACATTTTTATTTCAATATTTTAAATGGATATGTTTTTGCTTTCTATTGAAAAATTTTTAATATTAAATTTTATACTTATACAATATTGCACTGCACGATCAATTTTTAATGCTCACCATGAAATAATTTTTTACATTTCACCGGCCCGGCTCGATTATATCATATTTATTTGAGTTTTCAATTTTAATATTTTTCATTTCATCAACTTAAAGACTATTTTCTGCTATAATAGAAACAAAATCAATATAAGAAATTCTAAAATTAAATTATTATTTAAATTTTTTTTTCAAGTTTTAATTTATTTAGTGCCATTTTACAAATATTTAATTAATGATTACTTCATTTCTTTA